GATTAAACTATTCTGAAGTCTGTCGGATACTTGTCCATTTCAGGCATGCTTGCAATGAACAAACAAGCAAAAATTATGTAATGGACTCTAATATTTAGCTTCATTAATTTAGATTTGATGTTTTAAATTGCATTAGAGATATCACAAAGAGTCAGCTTATAAGGCATAGGACTTTCATGTTAGAATTCAAAGGTCAGGTGTTGGAGAAAGGGCCTTCTGGTCCCCAGCATCACTCCCATCTCTTATTCTCTGGATTGTTGTTGTTGTTACGTGCCATGGAGTCGGTTCCGACTCACGGCGACCCTGCACAGGGTTTCCGAGGCTGTAAATCTTTATGGGAGCAGAAAGCCTCATCTTTCTCCTGGGGAACAGCTGGTAATTTCAAACTGCTGACCTTGAGCGCTGCAGCCTGATTCGTAACCACTACACCACCAGAGCTCTGGTTTAGAGGCTCCCAAAGTAACTGTGTATCAGAATCACTTGGAGAGTTTGTTGAAAATAAGGATTGTTTTTTAAAACTCAACTCAGACATAAGAATTCAATCTTCTGGAGCTGGGGCCCAAGAATGTGGTATTTTTATAAGTGCCCTAAGGAACCCGCCAGTGTAGTGAGTTACAAATTGGGCTGCTAACCCCAAGGTCAGCAGTTTGACTCTACCAGCTGATCCAAAGGAGAATGATGAGGCTTTCTGCTCCTGTAAAGATTTACAGCCTTGGAAACCCTGTACAGGGTCATTATGAGTTGAAACTGACTCCACAGCACACCATAACCATCACATGCTTACTCTAAGGAGCTCTGGTAGCCTAGCGGATTATGAACTGGGCAGCCAACTGCAACATCAGCAATTTGAATCTACCAGCCGCTCTGCGGGAGAAAGATGAAGCTTTCTGCTCATGCAAAGATTTACAGCCTTAGAAATCCTATACAGGGTTGCTCTGAGTTGGAATCAACTACACGGTACTTGACAACAACATATATATAGAGGATAAACGTTGGAATGCTCACCATATAAGCCTACCAGCTGCTCTGGGGGAGAAAGATGAGGCTTTGGGCTCCTGTGAAGATTTACAGACTCAGAAATCCTATACATAGTCGTGATGAGTTGGAACCAACTCCACAGCACACCCCCAGCACCAAGAGATCCTCAGGTAGTCTCTGAGGATCCATTTCCGGAAGGCGTTTGGAAAACACTTCTCTGGGCCTGTGGCTCTTGAATTTGAACGTACATCAGAATCACCTGTTGGTGTTAAGTTCTGTGGCATTGGTTCAGACTCGTAGTAGCCTGTGGTTGTTATGTGCCATTGAGTTGGTCCCGACTCAAAGTAATCCTGTATAGGGTTTCCAAGGAGTAACTGGTGGGTTTGAACTGCCGAACTTGTGTTTAGTAGTCCAGTGCTCATAGCCTGTGGTGGTGGTAGTAGTATACCGTGGAGTTGGTTCTGAATCATAGTGACCCTGTATAGGGTTTCCGAGGTTGTAAATCTTTACATAAGCAGAAAACATCATCTTTCTCCCGCAGAACCGCTGGTAGTTCTGAACTGCTGACTGTGAGATTAGCAGCCCCAATTGTAACCACTATTGTTGTTGTTAAGTGTCATCTAGTTGGTTCTGACCCATAGCAACCCTGTATAGGGTTTCCAAGGAGTGGCTATTGAGCTTGAACCGCCGACCTTGCAGTCCTGCGCATTAACCCACAGCGCCGCACTACTACTGTTGTTGTTAAGTGCCATCAAGTTGATTTCGACTCAATGACGACCCTGTATAGGGTTTTCATGGAGCATCTGGTGAGCTTGAATTGTGGACCTTGAGGTTCAAATCAACCTTGCAGTCAAGTGTAGTAACCCACAATGCACAAACCAGGACTCCACTACTACTCTGTTGTTGTTGAGTGCCTTCGAGTCGATTCCAACCCATAGTTACCCTATATAGGGTTTCCAAGGAGCAGCTAGTGAGCTTGAACCACTCACCTTGAAGTTCAAACGACTTTGCAGTCTGACACATTAGCCCACGGTGCCACACTACTACTGTAGACCTCATTAAAACAAAGTTCTAGGTGACCCTGATGCTGCTGGTGTACAGGCAACACTTTGAGAACCACAGCTTTAATCCAAACTGCATGCCCACGTGCTTACTGCCTATTAACATTCCTATTATGTGGCCGACCACCAGGCTTTGGAGGAAGGTCAGGATTAACAAACTCGGTTGATCATCACAATCATCTGAAAGTGTCATTTAAAAAATGAAACATTTAATTACTAAGTGTGGACTTGAGCCCAGATCTACTGAATCTACATCTCCAAGATGCTCTGGGCATTTGTATTCTTTTTAAGTGACCCAGAAGATTCTAATTTATTATAATGATTTGAAACCATTGCCTTAGATGGGACAGACTTGTGAGTCCATGAATAACCTATTTTTAAAAATTGTTACCTGAAATTCGAATTTGCCTGGGCATCCTGCGGTCTAACTTGCTAAATCTGGCAACCCTACTCACTCCACTGTTTGCCAGCAGGTTTTTCCTCTGTGTGTTCCTTCTTTGCTCAACTTACATCTCTTTTAAATGCTTAGAAGAATGGCAGTGAGAAAAGAAACCTATACAAACTTGACATGTGGGTGAAGAAAAGAAAATTAAGATGTTTTCTCAGGAATGAAGAAAAAAATATGTATATACACACAGGAAAATTCACTAGACACTAGAAATAAAATCAGTAAAAAAAAGTTACTGTCTGCTAATGTTTTTTTGTTTTGTTTTGTTTTTTAACCAGACAATTCGTCAATTACACAATCAAAAGAACCCTCAGGAATAAAAAGACACCAATGATGCTACTAAAATGTTCCAAGCGAAGCATATATAATTAATTTCAAACAAGCATAAGCTATGAAAAACTCAAGCACTTCAAGGTGCTGAGTGAAAGACAGGTTAAATCTGCATCAGCCTTCATAGCTGATGCTTCCAAGTGAGTGGAAGGCTGGCCAGAGACAAAAAGATAATGACATCTGCCTTCTCCCTGGTTTATTGGAAGCAAAAGAAACTTAGAATAAGATGCTCACAACGCTGAAAGGAAGAGATGAAACATAACTACAGCCCAGCACCTGATATCAGCACATCATTAATAAGGTGCTGAATAGAATAAATAGAACAAATTATTAAAACAAAAAAGAAACAGATACTGATGCAGAAGACAAAAGCAAATCAAGCAAAGAGCTCTGCAAGAGCTGGTAAACCACTATGTAGAGTAACCATAATAGCAACACAGTTCCTGCAAAGCAAGCAACATTTTCCCAGCGCACTCTTACCATCCTATTGGTCAGGAACCTTGTTCTGTAAGATTGCAAGTGTTTTAGGTTTTACAAGCCTTATAGTTTTGGTTACGAATAACCCTGCCATTGTAGTGTGAAAGGAACCATAGACAATATAAATGAGTGGACATAACTCTGTTCCAATAGAACTTTATTCACAAACATAGGAGGTGGGTTGAATTTTGGGCCAACCTGTGTCAGAGGGGAGTCCAGATGGTAGAGGCAGTATCACTAGAGTTCTCTATAGAATGGCCAGCATCCTGAAAGTGGGTGCACCAAGAGAAAATAAAAGACTTACTCAAGGGCAAAGTGTTAAAGATGACACCAAGAAATCAAGATTCTAGAAACAGGGAAAAGATATTCATTTGACATTCTGACATTGTTATCAAAGCGGAAGAGGATAAGAACAAACATTTTAGATGTACAGAGAGGTTCTCTTGGCGGGCATGATATACAAAGATGACCAAATGGACTGTATGAAGAAGGGCCATCTTGATAATTTTATGACTACTCTTGTTGTTACTCGGGGCGACTCCATGTACAATTGAACAGAGCACGGTCGAGTCCTGCAACACCCCTGCATTTGTTGTTGTTGTTAAGTGTCATCGAGTTGGTTCTGACTCATAGTGACCGTGTATAGGATTTCTGAGGAGCAGCTGGTGGCTTTGAACTGCTGACCTTGTGGCTCACAGTCCAATGCTGATCCTACAGTGCTACACCAGGAGTCCATGATTAGGAAGGATGAAACCTACAAATAGAATGCACCCTCAGCAGTATCAGTTTATATAGTCCCTATGTGTGGCACAGTAGGATCAGCATCGGACTGCGAACCACAAGGTCAGATGCTCCTTGTAAACCATATGAAGGGTTGCTGTGAGTTGGAAATGACACCAAAGCATTAACAACAACAATAATCATGCAGGTTTACTGACCATCTCAATTTACTAAGTTTGCATTCCACATCTCAAGTAGTGTCCTTCCTGGGGAAAAAAAAAAAAAATCCTGTGACTCTGGCATTGGATTTTATACTTTAAAGCCAGAGCCAATGACGCAGGGCATGACTTCAATGACCTCATTTATGACACTGGTCAATGTGTTTGATCTGAGGTCTCCATGTCAGTCAGGAAGCACACAACATGAATTTACACTGTATAATTTAAAATCTTTATTTCCCTTCCCACAATTAGCATATGGATTTCATATTAGTTCACCTGGAACTTTTCTTCAGACAGCTGCCTTTCTCGTTTCCTAAGTCCTTGGTTGGGAAACTGTTTTCTCATTCCAGAGAAAGGTTAGATTTCATAGTCACGCTCTGAGCTAATCAGAGAACTGAGATGGCTTGACCCAGCAGCCACTGAGGGATTCGGTGGGGTCAAGAAGTCCTTTTAGCTAAAGGCCTGGTAAAGTGGTGGCTCTATAGGTTACTGCAACCCCTTATAGATGCTGATAGTGTTCTCTGTGTAGAACTGACAATAGGCAACCAGTCCCCTTTTGACAAGGAAATCTTTGACAAGGTAAGTCCCCTTCTCTCAGTTCTGTGATCTCGTGCACGAGCTAAGCAAACAACTGTCTGTGCTTTGGGGTCCAGTGTGCACTTTTCACCAAGTGCAAAGTTGGTTTTAACTCAAAAGTTCACTGTTTACACAGTTTTGAAGCTTGAGTTGTAGAGGGATGCTGTCTGCCTCTGAGGAATGATGGTGTCATAGCAATGGAAGCAAGAAGACCCAAACAAGTACTGGCAGGTGGAGCGTGTGGGTGCTACAGCCGGAAGTCCTCTGAGCATGCATAACTGCGAAGACTGCGTTCGTGTGATTGGTGGGTAATTCTACATTGCAGATCATTCCTTCACAACAAGACCTGCACTCCTGTGACAAAAGGGAGAGGAAAGGGCAAAGACAAAGTGAATGCCAAGAACAACAGGGAAAGGGTAAAACAAAGAGGCTTCCTCAGCTCTCTGCAGACAGACGGAAATAGAGATGCTCTTCCAGTCTCTGGGCATTACGTTCTTAGGTACCTTCTCCCCAATGACCAGGAGGGAAAGACCATCTGGAGAGTCTTTTCATCCTAATTGTGATTTACTTGTGTCAGATCCAAATATAAGTAAGGGAAAGAAAAGGAAGGGAAACTGAATAAGACTGATTGGTTCAACAAATCTTCTAAAGGTTTGCAAGGGAAATCATTAAAACAAAATGAAAGCTAAGAACTTTTTGAATTAGCCATTGATTTTCCTTCTCAGTACTACTTTCTAGAGGATAATGATGACTCTCCATTGTCTTTGCTAACACCTGATTCCTATCATTACAGCAGCAATGGCTTGCTAATTATGGCTGCTGAGTGGTGAAAAGGGCTGGCTTGCTTAAGGCACAAGGTTACAGATGTTTCCAAGGAAAGCAATCTCCTGTGGTAATAACCACACATACTTAATACAGTGGTTTAACCTGACAAACCTAGACACTAATAAAGGCTTGCATGATGTCTGGGGAAGATAAAAACATCCACTGCTAGAATGGCACAGATGGTTTTCCCTTGACTTGGAAACCCAATACAGGGTGACTGTGAGTCGGAAACAACTCCATGGCATACAACCACCACACTACCACTAGCCTAGAGGTTAGTAGTTGCAACCCACCTGGTGGTCCTGTGGAAGAAGGCCATGGTGACCTGCTTCCATAGACGTTACAACCAAGACAACTCTATGGAGCACTTCTCCATGGTGACCAATTTGGTTTTTATAGGTGGTGGTTGTTTGGCAAGTATCTAGATCAGTGAGTGAGTCCTAACTCTGGATGAATCACCTTAGGGAATTTTTCCAAAGGATCCTGATGTCCAGAACCTTCTCAACCACCCCATGCCAACTGGATATGATTTCAATTGTTCTGCAGTGACTACTTTCACACCACTCAATGACCACCTACTATCATCGAGAGGGTTCCAATTCATAATGACCCTGTGTAGGGTTTCCTTTAAGGGAACAGAAAACCTCATTTTCTCCAGAAGCATTTAGTGGGTTAGCAGTGGTTAACAGTCCTTGTGATTAGGAGCCCAGTGCTGATCCTACAGGACCATCAAGGCTACCCACAGCATATCTTCTTGCAAAAGCTCCCCAGTGCTTCCCATGTGTTGTTGTTAGTACCATGGTGTCAGTTCTGACACATAGCTACCCTATAGAGATTTCCAAGGAACACACAGTGAGTTTGAAATGCCGACCTTGTGGTTCAAACGGACCTTGGAGTCCTGCGCTTACCGTACAGCACCACACACAGAGGTAAACGTCACTGTACTTGTAAGCTAAGTCAGAGCCTAAAACTCCATGAAATTAACATACTTTCCAAGTATTTTTTCCCTCAAACATTTCAGTATCACGGGCATATAAAAGAATGAGATGCTCAATTATAATGATGGAATGAGAACGTTAAGGAGATCAATTGATCTCAAATATCTCTATAAATTCATCGTATTAAACTTAGGTTCATCTTTCAGACTCATTTCCTCAGCTAAGTGGAGGTGGTGGGTGAAACAAGGTTTCCTTTAGTAAAAGAAGTCACAATACACCGCTATCCTCTTTCTACCTACTTGCCTTCCAGGATAGTGGACGTGGTGGTTCCTGGTCAAGAACAAAACAGGTGATCTGGGTTCTGCAGTGTTTGTCGTGTTCTATGGTTGCCTGGGTGGCCAGATTTTGTCTCTCACACTTTGGACTTATTATCAGGAGGAACCAGTCCCTGGCAAAGGTATGCTTGTTAAAGTGGAGAGTCAGGAAAAAAGAGGAAGACCCCCAACGAGATGGATTGGCCAAGTGGCCGCTGCAATGGGCTCGAATGTAACAACAGTTCTAAGATTGGTGCATGACTGGGCAGTGTTTCATTCTGTTGTGCATAGACTTGCTATAAGTCAGTACCGACTTGACAGCACCTAACAACAACAATGGATGGTTTACTCTCAGGCCACTGTAGCTGGCTTCAGACAATTCACCAGAAGTCCAAGACCTAGGACCTAGCTCTGGACACTTAGGAATGATCATTCTTTTTTGATGACATTATTTCTTGTTGCTGGACACAAAGTCTTTGCATTCTCTTTGGTCTCCATTTCATTACTGTAATGTATATAGTCTTTTCTCAAAATAGATACAAGTTCAACGCATTACTTACCCTTCCTACCTTTCCCGTGACATATAACTTACCATCCCTCTGACTGAAACTTTTAAAAAGTTATTTCACACACACACACATGGTCCTTACTGTATGTTCAGAACCTAGGCTGCGGTGACAACCAACAAAATGGCATTCGCTCTTGGAGGCGCACTTTTTGGTGATGGATATACTGCTCCCATGACTGGTGAAGTGATGAACTGTCAAACAGTACTGTGTATCTAGGCATAAAAATAAAAAAAAATTAATTAAGGCAACTACATTTCCCAAGCCATGGTATTTTCAATAACCTCATATGTGTGCGAAAGTTGGACAGTGAATAAGGAATATGGTGTTGGAGGAGAATATTGAAAGTGCCATGGGCAGCCAAAAGAACCAATAGATCCATTTTGGAAGAAGTGCAGCCAGAGTGCTCCTCGGAGGCCAAGATGGCCAAACTTCGTCTTTCATACTTTGGACATATTGTCAGGAGGGAGCAGTCGCTGGAGAAGAATATCATGTTTGGTAAGGTGGAGGGCCAGGGAAAAAGAGGAAGACCTCAATGAAATGGATTGGCCAAGTGGCAGCATCGATGGACTCAAGCGTGGCAACAACAGTGAGGTTGGCCCAGGATCAGGTAGTTTCATTCTGCTGTGCATAAGGTCGTTATGGGTTGGTACCGACTCGATGGCACCTAACAACAACAACAAAACATTACCCAAAATTAAAAAAAAAAAAAAAAAAAAAAAGACCTCTCAGCAGTCACTTCAGATGTGGCTAATATTCAGCCTGAGCTGAGGTTCCCAGGCAGGACATTAGTGACAGTGAACTCTAGAGCTTTTAGGTGGTATTTCTGAAGACCACAGCTCCTAAAGGACATGTGTGATTTGAAAATAAATATGAATGGACAGCTATCCTTTGGTCCCAGCTAAAGCTGAGAGAAAACTTTGTAAGCTTTCTTCAGAATCAGAGGTCTGCTTATTTCAGATGAAAGCACATATTTCTTTTTTCTTTGTTCTTCCATTTCTCTCAGAAGCACATGTCCTATAACTCTAAAATAAAATGAGAATTGTGAATTTAAAGTGCAATGGACCAAAACACTTGTCTTTGCATTATTCAACATTTCTTTCTGTAGACCATGTGGTGAACTGAGTGAAATGCTGGAGCTTCAAATCACACATCAAGCTCCCTTTCCTTTCTCATCTTATTCATATTCAGGCTCCAACTCTTCTACCCTACCTGACATTTCCTCATCCACTTATTTCCATTTTTTCCTGCCCTGCTTATTTCACTCCTAGCTTTTCTGTTTTCCCCAACCTTCAATAGCTAGCAATTCTCTGAGGCGGCTTCAAAACATCCATGAAAAAAGTGAAACTAAAAGATAATGGAATTTTCCATAAACTTTTTGAAGCCCTCTCAAACACGGCATCATCTTTATAACTTTAAAGATTCAAGTTCTATTACTTAGGGTGTTTCCCAGAAAGTGATTCTGTTCAATACTCTCTGACAATCCACTTGGGCAGAGTGACTCTTCTAGAGGTATCTTGGGACAATGAATGCTACTGAGTTTCTCGAGCAGAGATGGCAGAAGGGATGTGATAGGATGGGAATGAAACTGGACTAAAGTGGAGAATACTGGGCTTATGCCACAAGGGAACACGTCACGTTCGGTTCTTTGAGCTTAGTTGTTTTTTTTAATAAAACGATGGCAATGCAATCCATCATGGTTGTGTAGTTAGAGAGTCAGAGAAAATGAAAGAAATCCTCAATAAGCTGGACAAAACCACAGCCATGACAATGAGCTCAACATACCAATGAGCGGGAAGATGGCACAGGACAAGGCAGCCTTTCCTTGTTGGCGCTGACTCAGTGACCCCTACTATTCTGATAGAGTTGTTGTAAGCTTTTAGTAATACTAGTAAACACATATTGCTTTGTGTTAGCTCACTCTTCCAAATAAGTCTGCAAGGTAAGGCATATTAATAGTCTCATTTTGTTGTTGTTGTTGTTGTTGTTAAGTGCCATCAAGTCAGTTCTAGCACACAGCAACCATGTATAAGGTTTCTGAGGAGAGTTGGTGGGTTTATGCTGCTCACCGTGTGGTTAGTAGGCCAGTGCTTATTCTACAGCAACACACCAGGACTCATTTTAGAGATGAAGAAACCAACGCACTGTTTGTTGCCTAGAATCACGTTAGTAGGATGTGGGAGATGGTAGGAGTCTAACGCATTAAGTTTTCAAAGGCTTGTAGTAGTAATCATAACACTATTCCATCTCTTCCAAAATCAAATCCACTGCCATTGAGTCAATTCCCACTCCCAGAAACCTGATGGAACTGAGGACAACTGCAGCATAGGTTTCTGAGACTATAAAGCTTTTCAGAGGCACATATTCTCCCTCAGAGCAACTGATGGATTTGAACTCCCTAGTTCAAATTAGCAATTAGCAACCCAACATTTAACCTACTGTACCACCAGCATCCCTTATTCTGCCTCTTAGTATAAAAATCATCCGAATCTACTGCTATCAAGTCGATTCTGACTCTTAGCAATCCTGTGTAGGGCTTCCTAGGCTGTAAATCTTTATGGAAGGAGAAAGCCTCATCTTTCTCTTATGGAGTAGCTTGTGGGTTTGAACTGCCTACTTTTTGGTTAGGATCCCAGTGCTTATCCTATAGTGCCACCAGGTTTCCTTGCCTTTTAATATGTTGTTGTTGTTGTTGTTGTTGTTGTTGTTAAGTGCCATTGAGTCAGTTCTGACCAATAGCAACCCTGTATAGGGTCTTCAAGGAGTGGCTAGTGAGCTTGAACCACTGACCTTGCAGTTCAAACCAACTGTGCAGTCCAGTTCATTAACCCATAGCACCACACCAGGAGTCCCTTAGTATATTTAATATCAATTAAAACTAGATGGTGCTGTACTGTGCTACACAGAATTAGCTGACTCTAGATTCCGAAGGAAAGGAAACTACAGAAAGTTTTCAATAAGGCATTTCAATGTAGACTCCAAACAAAGAAGAACTAAAAACTGGTAGCAGCATGTGTTCATATAGAATGTCACGCATGCTAAAACAGCCCTAAAAAGTCAGAGTAAAAGCCAGGGTAAATAAAACAAGAAATGTCATTCTTGTTATATCCTGTTACATAGAGAACCTCTTTTGAACAATACTGACAGACCACAGAAGTGAAGCTATAGGATGAAAATGAAACCGGAGATGACAAAGAACAATAGCTGCAGGCCTGTTTGCCCCCAAGAAATGGTTGACGATCACTCCCCCAAATAATGAGAAAGTGAAAAGTAAGAAATTACACCTTAGTTATAATTCCAGGTGGTTAGTGTCTTTGGGATCTGATTGGCATGTGGTCAACTATGCCATTCATGCCAAGCTGGAATGCGGCAGCAGTCCACATGCATCTCTTTAAGAGTCAGGTTTTCTGAGAGGGCGTGAGAGAGCTGATCTCTGTTCTCGCCACCTTTCTTGGTGGTAAAAAGCTGCAGCTTTCCCCTTTGTCCACACATGTTTCAAAAGAGATGAAATGCTAAAATCCAGAAATAGCCACGCACGCCCCAGTTAAGTATGGACTTGGTAGATGAATGACAAGTTGGAGCACAAAGCATAGAACCTCAAAGGAACCATGTTTTAGTACAAAAGAAAAGCATGGTTCATGAAGATGCAGCTAAAGGCTTAGCCATCAATGGTGGAATACTATTACCCTAGCCTGGACCACCCAGTTTTCAGAGAAATCTAAAGCAAATCGCTAAAGAATAATACTCATCATCTGAAATAAGTTAGTAAAGAGAGACATTGGCTAACTGTGAACAGTTTGAAATAACTAAGATACCCTTCTATGAAAACTTTAGAACCCTTTCAATACAATTACATATGCACATACACACACATGTGTTTAAGGACAGTCATGCTACACAAATGTGAAAGAACCACAAGAAAACTGTTTTTCTTATAATTAATTATTCTTAAGAGAACAATTTTAAAGTTCTGTCCATATAAGTGTCATAGCCATTTTTATGAGCTTGCAGCATAACATTCTCAGGCCTTATGAGAACCCCCATATATACTATTTCCAGGTGCCACACATTGGCTTTATCTGAAAAAACCTCAAACCCATTGCCAGCAATTTGTTTGTGGACAGTGACCCTATAGGACACAGTAGAATCGTCTCATAAGGTTTCCAAGGCTATAATCTTTTTTTTTTTTTAACTTTTTATTGTGAATTGACTAAACATTTACTGACAAGATAATCAGTTTTACATTCAACAAATAATACACTTTGTTTCATCTCAATGATTACAATCCCCTCCATGGAACAACAGTTATCCCACTTCCTCCCTGTGGTTCCTATTTCCCTTCCACCCTCCTTCCCATCCCTTCTCAACTCTGTCCTTAGGTACATGTTGCTCCTTTGATTTTGAGTGATGGACTGTTCCATCATGTACAGTGAGCATACCTTACTAGTGTGGTTGCTCCTCATATGTGTATACACCCATTGACTGTTCGGCTGAAAGCTGGACCATGAGGCTGAGTTCCCTGCCAGACCTGAAAGGTGGTCAAGGGCCATAGTCTCAGCTTCCTCCAATCTCTTTCTGACCAGTACACCCAGTTTCTGTTTTTCTAAATAATTTGAACTTTGTTCCACACATTCAGGTATTCTGTTCAGGACCTTCTAATGTGATCCCTTTTAGAGCAGTTGGTAGTGGTAGTTGAGTACCATCTAGTTCTTCTGTTCTCAGAGTCATGGAAACTGACGTTCACACGTTTCATTGGTCCATTGGACTAATTGATTTAAAGCACCTTTAATTCTCAACATTCTTCTTTTTTCTGCACATGGAGAGACCAGTAACTGCAAGGTAGACAGCCACTCATAAGCTTTTAATATCCCAGATGCTAGTACTCACTGAAGTGGGATGTAGACCATTGTTTTTATGGACTATGCTATACCAGTTGACCATGGGGTCCCTAGAGACTATGGTCCTGAACTCCCAGACTCAGCTACTCATTGCAAGGCTGTAATCGTTATGAGAACAGACTGCCACCTCTTTTCCCCACAGAGCAGCTGGTGGGTTCAGATCTCAGATCTTTAGGTTAGCAGCTGAGCACTTAACCACTTGCCACCAGGGCTCATGAGTAGACAGGGCTCTAAATAAAGTGGAATAGACGTTTCCGGAAGAAGTTAATAGTAGGTCAAAATGAGTAACCTCTAACTCTGTAAGGGTTTTATTTGCTTGTTGTTTTTCTTTTGCTCTTGGACTTTGACATTTGAAAATCTAAAAAGCAAAACAAAACAACAACAGTATACTTTAAAAACAGTCCAAGTTTCCTCAGTGCTGAGTTTTCAGTTCCAAATTATCCATCAGCATATCCTGTCTCCTTTACCTCCAAAGTTTTCTGTGTACTAAATCATGGAAAAGGAGCTCTAGTAGCATTGTGGGTTAAACATTGAGCTGCTAATGGCAAGGTTAGCAGTTCAAAGCCACCAACTGCTCTGAGGGAGAACAATGAGGCAGTCGACTTCTGTAAAGATTTACATTCTTGGATACTTTAGGGAGCAATTCTACTCCGTTCTGTATGGTCGCTATTAATCAGAATAGACTCTATGGCATTGGGTTAAATAGTGCAACTTCTCAACTCGAACCATCCTGGGTAAGCTCATCATCTTCTGCCTGAAGACAATATTTCCTATCTGGTCCCCAATTCTATTCAACCCTAACAATCCATTCTCCACACAGTAACCAGGGTAATCATGAATAGCATCAGGTGCTCCCTAGTTTGTAACAATGAAATCAAAACTCTTTACCACAAAAAGAAGAGCCCATGCTTTCTGGTCCTTACCACCATCTCAGCTCCTTTCTCCATCTCTCACTAAGCCTTAGCGGTCAGTCTCCTTTCAGATCACTGAACACACTAAGCCTGTTCTCCACTCTTGAAGCCTTTGCATATGCTGTTCCCCCTTTCTAACATGTTCTTCCTATAGATTTTTGCATGGCTGGCTTGTTTGGGTCTTCAGTCTTTGTTCAAAGGTTTCCACCTAAGAGAAGCTTCTCCTGACCACCTGTGTAGTAAATGGTGTAGTAAATTATTTAATATGTCTCTTCTAGCCTTAGTCTTTGTAACTCCCTTTTCCTGAGGGGTCTGCGTAAGAGAAGGTGGGAAAAGTTACTGATAGAATGATATGATTCAGTTGTGAGTGTTAACAGAGTGAGTTGTGATTGTAAAAACTGGAACTCTGAGCATCTCAGAAACAAAGGGAGGGATCTCAGTAGCATCAAAGAAAAGAACCAGGAGTGGAGTCCATCTGTTGGGCCCTGAGACCTCTGTGCATTGAACCTTCTCAGCACAGGGACAGTAAGCTGTGGCACTGGAGGAGTAGCCGAGGAGAGTCAGAGCATGATGCAGAGTGGTGGGCTTCCTAGTCTGTCGAGCAAGTAAAGCTGAGGGACTTTGGGCAGGAGGCTTGCTTGCAGAATGAGGTCCTTCCCGGTACTAAATTGGGGCAGCTACATTTGTTGACCCACAGAGCTAGAGCCAAGTGCCTGATGGTGAGTTCCAAACAGAGAGAGGCCTGCCTGAGGGTATGGTTAAGGAAAGGTGGTCCTGACTGGAAGTACTATGCTCTGAGCATTTCTGACCCTGAACTATACCCCTTTAACTTCCCAACAAACCCCATAACTGTAAGTATGATGTCTGGGTTCTGTGTTGCTATTGCAATGAATTATGGAACCCAGCTGAGTAGAGTGCTGTGCATGTGCTAAACAACCTGAACAGTTAGTTAAGTCTTTGTTGAATGAATAAATGAGTTTTCCAAGTATCAAGGTATCTCAAGAGTATAGAAACCTTCCTTTGCTTTAGCCAGTATGACTTCTCTAGAGGTATTGTTTAGCATTTCTGAAATTCTTAGAATGCCTTAGCCTTAGCCCACATTGTGGTCTATTTGTTCCCCCTAGTAAATGCCATTTAAGACATTCTCCCTCAAGGCACACACAACTACAAATTGAGGCACTGCCATATTTTCTAAGTTCTCTCAATATAGGCCGATGTCTGGATAGTCTTGTAGAAGAAATCTCTGCGTCCCTATAGAACATCAGCAGCCTGTTGACATGTTAATCCCATTAGTAGGTATCCCTGCTCAGGAATGAGATCATGAAACAAACAACCAAGCTAGGCCCACTTACTTTGTGGACACCATTTGTCTTCCGCCCATCGGTTGCAGTTATAATTATCCTCTGCATTTTCACAGGTAAAACACTTGAAGCTGTTTGGAAATGGTGTTGCTTTAAAGAAAAAATGTAAAGTGAAACTTTAAGGTTAAAGACAAAAATTTGAAACACCAAATAAGGCACAACATTAGCAACTTTGATTAGATCAAATAAAATTCAACAACTCATCAATCATCATCCTTGGAATGTGTGTTTCTAGAGAACGAGACTAAACCAGTAGACTTCTGGCATTTTCTTTATTGCTTCCTCTTTCAATACTTCACCTATAGAATGTCACTCTAGAGTGATGAATAGGGGCAGTGGTGGCAAACTGGTAGAGTCCCCGCCTTCCACTCAGGAGATCCAAATTCGACTCCTGCTCAATGTACCTCATGCACCCTACACTCGTCTGTCAGTGGAAACTTATGTGTTGCTATCATGCAGAACAGGATTCAGTAGAGCTTCCTGACTAAGATTAGGGAGAAAGGTCTGTCTAGTGAGGATGTACTGCTGAAAATCAGCCACTGAAAAGCTTATTGATCACAACTACCTGATTCCAAACTGGACATGAAGAAGATGGAGGACTGAGCAGCATTTCTTCCCATTGTGCCTGGGGTCACCATGAGTCAGGGGTCAACTTGCTGCCAGCTAAGACAGAGGATAATGAAAACAATCCCACAAGCCACTAGGAAAGATTCATGAATGATTTCATTCTGTGATCATTTATAAATGGGGATGGGGGTATGGATACTGGGTGGAGGCAATAGTGGAATCAATAATTTCACTCATGGTACATGATCATCCCTGAGAAGAAGTGGAGTCAGATTAGCCTGAGCTTGAATTCTGTCCTTGCCACTAATTAGCTGTGAGATGCTTATACTTTCAGAAAACAATAATTATGAAGATCCTCATGAGTTGCAAGAGTAGAATGAGGATTAAATAGGAGACTGCAAGACAAAGACCTAGCAGAATTCCTGGGACATCCAGTCATGCTTTCCATCTGTATCCACTTCCACTGCAGCTACATTTAACCTCAAATAAGTACTCTTATTTAACAGATGCCAGTTATCGTGATATTAGACCTCAACCAGGAATGTAACAGTTATTGACTACATGATATCATTAGTAATTCTTAAGCCCTTTGGTGATTATGTGCCATGGAGCCGATTCCAACCCATAGCGACCCTGTACAGGGTTTCCGAGGCTGTAAATCTTTACCAGAGCAGAAAGCCTCATCTTTCTCCCGCGGAACAGCTGATAGTTTCAAACTGGTGACCTTGAGGTTAGAAGTCTGATTTATAACCACTATGCTACTAGAGCTCCTTTACTCAAGTCCAAAGTGTATGGTAAGAAGAAATTATTAGTTTTGGGCAGTCTGGTTTGAAAGCACTGTTGTTGTTGCTGTTAAGAGCTATTGAGTTGGTTCCAACCTTGTATATGGTTTTCAAGAAGCAGTTGGTGGGTTTGAACCATAAACCTTATGGTAAGCAATCCAATGTTTATCCTACAGTGCTACACAAGGACTTGATTATTCTTTTTTCTCTATGCCACCTTTTTGCTTTATAATTTATTTTAATGGGCAAGAAGTCGAAAGTAAAATAACTCAACATTTCTATAGGGGTCAGAGTACAAAGCCTTGTGTAAAACTTGGAATGCTCTAATTTTTGGAAAAAGAAACAAAGATCAAAATGCATTCCAAGTTATACTAGTAACCTGACTAGAAGTTGTGGTAAAAATTGGAAAGCAGCGTAATTTTCAGTTACAGTGTAAGATTGTTGCCGTGTGCTGTAAAGTTAAGTCCAACTCATAGGCAATCCTACAGGACAGAGAAGAACTGCCCATTACGTTTCCTAGGCTATAATCATTATGGGAGAAGGTCCCCAGGTGTTTTCTTCTCTGAGCCACTGGTGACTTCAAACCACTGACTTTATGGCTAGTAGCCACGCATTTAAATACCGTGCCACCATATAGACACATAAAACAGGAACAAAATCAACAATAGCAAAAAATTAAAAGCTAAAATTTAGAAGACATGCAAAACATTTCTACTTTTCTTCTACATAATAGTATATGAGGTGAGGTAGGAGACAGGAGAGAGGGAAGGAGGAAGGGAGAGAGAAGAAGGAACCCATTTTTACCTTTAAATCATTACAGTTGTGAAGATGCTACTCATACTCAATGCTGGTGAATGACCTAGCCAAAGTATAAATTGGCACAACCTGTTTTGCTTTATTAAATCTAATTCCAAGAATTTATTCTAAGGTATTAACAACTGAAGAAGAGAAAATGATTTTTAATGACACATTATTTACTTGTAACATAGATATACAGCTATGTATATATACATATATATATATAATCACACTGTGGAGAGCTTCAAAAAGTTTGCAGAGAAATGGAATTAAAAGATATAGAAGTTTTTCACCAACTTTTTGAAGTCCTCTCATGTGAGTGTGTCTGCATGTGTATACTCTGAGGGAGAAAGATGAGGCTATGTTGGAAACCCCAGTGAGAAGTTCAGTTCTATCCTACGGGGTTACTATGTGTTGGAATTGATTCAAAGGCAATGGGTTTGGTTTTACACACACACACACACACACACACACACACACACACAGAAAGGAGCTTCAGAAAGTTTGTAGAAATAGAAGGCAAATATATAATGAAAATTTTCTATGAACTTTTTGAAGACTCTTCAGGTTGTGTGTGCGTATGGCTATTATAAAGTATGGGGGAATTATTAAATAAGCTACACAGCAACCATATGATTTTTAGAAATGAGAAGGTATTAAATATGTTTAAAGACATGGACAAATATTTAAAATATAGTATAAAAGGGGAAAACGGATATAAAACTAAAGTTGATTGATTTCTTTAGGTTACATGTCATTTTTTTGCTGAAATTTTTTTTCTCATTATAAAATTGTTTTTGGTTTAGACATTTGTAGGGTCTATGAAAACCGTTCCTGTGTAATACCATAAAACAATTAGTTTACTATTGTTACCAATTTAGAAATTTATAATAAGTGATAGTTCAAGATGTATGTGTATCATACATATGTGTGTGTGTAAGTGAAAGAGTGTGTGTAGCCTATACATGTTACACACATGCACACACATATGCAGATATGACTGAATGCCTGAATGATGAAGAAAACCCATAGAAAAGAAGAGTAATGACATGGAACTCACTCAGGAATGACACAGAGTAGTCCCAAACCTGCTGTGCATTGATAGTATCAGAAGACCTTTTTTAAAATAGAAAAGGAAAAAGATAATCCCTATACAGTGGCATCGCATGTTGTCAGGAGGAACTAGTCCTGGGAGAAGAACATCATGCTTGGTAAAATGGAAGGTCAGTGAAAAAGAGATGGATTGGCA